AGGGAATCCGAAACGTCAGGCAAATAAAACTCTTGTTCCAGTGATCGCATATCCAGGAATAGCAAATACAATACAAATCACCTTTGGAATTGGTGGGCTCCTTTTAGGTGCGATCGCATCTCCTTCTTGTCATTTACATCCTGGGAATCGCATTTTGGTTTGTATTAACAGTAAAGAGTCACAGAATCTTCCTAACTCAAAGTTGGTCGAAACTGAGTCAGCTGTCTCGAAATAGATTAATACAAATTCTTTACGCCACATAAAAATAATATCCCGAAAGTTGCGGGTTATTTTGTGTTTTAATGAAATCCTCTCTAGTTACTGCTAGTATTCTTGAAATATTCGCGCTGCAAATGATATACAGCACACAGGTTACTAAAAATGGACGGATTGCATCCGCTGGCTCCGCGAATTTTAAGTGTTCTGAGAAAAGAATAGCGAATGAATTTGTGAAGTCACAGACTCAGAAACACAAATTTTTGAGATATTACGTTAACGTTTCTGAAAATGGCTCGCTCATTGCCAAGTTAGCAATTCTTGAGAATAAAATACAGAAACTACCGAATAACCCTGAAGACGAAGGACCAGATAACTATGATGCCTAAGAATTGAAACTACTTTTGGCTTGCCGAATACGCTTCATGCAGACCAAATCCAAGTGCTGATCTCTACGCCTAATGTTGCCACGCTTGATTCCTGTTCGTTTAGGCCTCCTAATATAAAATGAAGGCCTATTGCAGCTGGCTGGCTGACTGGATAACCTGAATCTTTGCTTTTTAGCTGGCCAATAGGAATAATGGTAAGAATATAAACTTTTCAGAACACAGCAAATCCAGAATGAAGTTACAACCTCTTCTGGATTAACATTCAAGGCCCCCTGTGACTTGGTAACATGGACTCTCACCTAAATTAGCAAAAGGCAATCTAGGATTCAGCTTATCTCAAATTACTCGTTGATGCCTATCTGCCGTAGATTTCTTTTGAATGCTGCTGAAATCTATTTTTTATCTTTTATGATTGTTCTCATCAAGGTAAATCTCAAACTATTTCTGTTAAAGGATAAAAGTGCCATGCCTCCATTTCGTTTGTGTAACATATTGCATCCTTCCCATTGTAAAATCAGAGTATTTCTTATGTCTGTCCTGCACCTTACCGCCTTAACTTCTACTTCTTTTTTCCTCCCTAGAAATGGAACAGTGTGTGCCAGAGACATTAGCTTGTAAGTCTCCCTCCACCTCCTCCCCCCCCCAGCCTCCTACATGCTCACTGTTTCCGTAATCATTTTATTTCTGCTGTGTGTTTGGTCATCGCATAATCCAATCAACAATTGACTGGCGGACTCGAACAGTCGACTGGAGTGTGAAAGAGGGAGGAGGGGCTTACAACAATTTCAATTTACGGGGTAACTCAGTTCTCATGATAATATTTCAGAATGACTGATGGACTGAAATTCTGACCTCCATGGCCCTTCTCCCATGTGGGCTTTATGGCGCTCCCGTTGATGTGAAGCCTGAACAGCCCATGCAGTAGCATGATGCACATACTGGAGACTAGGTCTTGTGTAGTACGCATGGACGGGTGATTTAGCCTTGGTAAACACTGCTCTGGTCCGTTTGACGTTGTCCTGCTATTGCAGTGAAAGAGTGTTTTACTGTGAGCGTTGTATTCGGCACAGAGAGGTTGGCGAACATTCTGAAACTGATTAACTGCTGGACGAAGGCACACGTCCAGCGCCGTGAGGGCAGTGTCCCGAGTTCCTAGTGGGAGGCAATCTTCATAGCGCCTTGAGTGAGGGTATGTCTGGGCCGGCTTTCAATTTGATTGGTTAGTTTGGGTAGCTGTGATTGGTTGAGAAATAGGCTGCCACTAAGCGCGCGCGCAAGTACACATGAGAGGCGCAGCGTTGCAACGAGCACCCGTAGTAGGGTCACAACAAGTACTCCCTACTGTTTTAAGGCAGACACTGGTTCGCGAGTTCAGGTGCGTACCTTAGTGCCGTAATGGCCGACTGCCTCTAGCTTCAAGTCTTCGGCTGCGCTTCTTGAATTCAATTTGAGTGAACCAGCCGAAAAAAAACGGTCCGAAAGAAAAAATGTTAAATGGGGGGGGGCGTTTCAGGGTAACAGTCTGCTATAAGGATAACCACGCTCTTGTTTACTTTGCACAACCGCCTACTTATTTCTTAGTAGAAGGCATGTTTAATTTTACGACTTTGGTGTCGGCTGTTTTACTCGCCAGAAACGCTCGACCATCCACTCAGTACATTGCACTCCCACGGAAATCTTGAGCGACGGAATGTCAGAATTATATGGAAACAAAAACATATTTTTATCATTATACAGTACGTTTTTTATCGCGTTTCATATTCACAATATATTATTAATACCATAAACAGTTTTTCGTATAATACTTAAGTACTACGGCTTGTAAAATGGATTTTTTGGAGCGGAGGGTGCCCGCTGTCCGATGGAAAAATGAGATTGGAATGCTCGGATCCAATTAGTTGACCAACGTCAGACTGGTTTCGCCTTCGGTTTTCCGAATCCTCAGATTCAATTTGACTCTGAATTGTCGCATTTTTTGCCTATTCTTCAATTATCGGACGCTTGTTCGTTGAATATATTATTTTATTACATTAATTCATGTACCAGTTCCCGTCTTTGTTTGACATATTTCTTTTACTTTATCTCCCGCGCCCCCGTAATGCCCTACTCGCATAACCTCAATTACCGCCGTTCCCTTTTTACAGAATTCTGGGGTTTTTGCTTTCCGTTGTGACCCCTATAATAGATTGCTACCAGGATCATCTCTGATCCCTCTTCGTGTAAAAGTTGCATTTAATCTTCTCCCCTATCCCCCCTCTCACGGCTTTATCAGGTTTCGGCGCCATGTCCAAGGTCAATATGGAGCGGCCAGCCAAGGAGCTGATGCTCATGTGTATTCTCCTGGGCAAAGTCAAATTAGCTGAGCTGTTCTGGGCCTACGAGAAGGTAAGTTCTCAGGCGATCCTAACCATCTTATAATGTAGGAACCAATCGGCGGAGCCATGTTCTGCACTGTTTTGTTGGGGAAGATGTCTGAATCTGCCACCGATCTGGCTCAGAAGTCGGAATTCGAATCACATGCGCGGTAAGAAGACTCCTCTTGAAGATACTATTTTAGGCTTTTTGGTTTCTTGAGTGCCATTTGCCATTGATAAACCGCGCTTCCAAGTCCACTACCAAAGTTCAGTGAAATTCCTTTTTTGTTCAAATAAAAACTTTTTTATGACCTGGAGATCACTGATGCAGTGTAATCCCCGAAAGCTGGCCGTTACTGTTACGAGTGAAATAACTTTATAGTCAAAGCGAGAAGGAGACCACTTCTGTAACTTACGGTGAGCGAATTATCTTGCAAAAGTGGGTCGAGATGACTGATCGAACACTGATTATGACAATGTCCACCGTGTGTTCCGTAGCCAGGTGGGCGTAGCAGTGGTGGTTTTTCGCGTGAATTAGTTCATAGTAATAGTAGGCTTGCGAGGCATCTGCTTCACTCTCTCCTCCTCCATGCACCTGCACCCGACGTTATGACATTTTTAGGAAGAGCGGTGGCAGGAGGTTAGCTTGGCATGAGTCTGCACCTAGGCGTTCCGTCGCACTCCCCATGTGTCATATTTATTCTGAGCGCACATCCCTAATAACGCTTTTCATGTCCTGATCTGGTCCACGTGTTACTCTGACGCATTTACAGGGCGGCTTTTTGAGTGATCAAAATACATTGACCCGCGCATCCGTCACAGCTATGGATAATGAAACGGTAATTATGTTTAAGGGGCGGAGTTTTCCCATTTTGAGCACACCCTCTAGATCAGGATTGCCTAGCAGCTTCCGTGTGGTCATAAACATAGGTGCCAATCGCTTCATGCTCTCTACACTGTCCTTCCTACTCTGCTATAGCTGGATTCTCCTAATGATCATTCTAGTCGGCGACCGGCAAAGTGCCAGGCTAAGCCATAGAACAGGCTGTATCAGCTCTTATATTAAGTGGATGATACAGGGTCTTATGATCTTTTCTGGTTCTCCACAATAAAAACAACTGTTCATAACATCAGATAACTAAACAACGGGTCCCAGAGAACACCTTCATGTCTTCTATTTCATTACCTGGGCCTCGCATATTTTCGACCATTCAGAAAAACGACTGTGCGCGTGCTGTACTATTGTCCCAGCCCACCAATACAGCCGAGTAAAACGTGGTCAGACACGAGAAAACGTACTGTTACCTGAGAGTCATTCTTATTGAAAAACTGTGTGTATTCAAAATATCCCCTCAAGGTCAACTAGAATTATGTCCTAGTCGTTCCCAAAAGAAAGGATTAGAATATCCGCGCAATCGCTCACAGATTTGGGCCAATCAGGTTCCAAGGACACGTTCTGGTCGCAGCCAATGACCAATCGCCGTCAAGAGCTTGCTTGATACAGGCAATTAACACAAGCGGGGAGTACGCAGGTGCTTTCCACTTAGCTCAATTGACATAGTGGACTGATGGTGTGGTCTGGTATAAGCAACAATTTGCAGACTTCCAAGTCACGGTAAACCATGATAGCCTCAAACATGGATGATATATGTAGCAAAGGATTCGCATACGGAAGGACCAATGTGGATACCAGAGCGTGTGCGGCACGTGTAGACTGGATGTTCACCTTTGTCAATCACTGCGTTTGCACCCACCTTCGGTCGTCTTGACATCCTCTTGCCATCGTAGATGAAGGCAGATAGATCGCAGCAGACGCCGCGCAGGTCTACCTCACTATAAACTAACCCAGCTGCAAGTCACTGTTTCCGTGCTCAATCCGGGGAGAAAGCAGTGAACGCTGTCTTTTACAACGGGCAGACTGTCACCTTCTGTAGACGATTATAAGCGAGTTTTTTTTTCTTTTTCTTCCCGTGCTTCGTTGCTGCAGAATTTTCGAGGAAAAGGCCGAGGGGGTGTTGGAGGAGTGCTATACGGAGGACAGCGCGCGCGCCAAGATGCTGCTCTATCGCCAGCTGGAGGACTACGGCAGCAATGCCGTCATCAGATTAGCCGCGCGTGGAAGCTGCATCCACTTCATGTCCCATCCCTGCTGTCAGGACTTCCTGTCAGAGGTCTGGATGGGAAAGTTGTCTGCCAAGAACTCCATCTTCCATGTAAGAGACTACACCCCCCCCGCTCCCCAAGGCAATATACACTACGGCCCAGAAGTCGAAAAACGTGCCGACAAATGCGAAAGATTCATACTTTTTCGCTAATTGACATTGAGTAAGGTTGTAGTACTGATTAACATGTAGACTATCCTGAAGTCATTTCACTCACGATAGGATGCCGGCTTTTTAAAAAGCTGTTTCCTGATTGCTAACAACTGGCTACTTAAGTAGTATGTTTTTTATCGTTGATTTTGACTGCCTTTATAAATTCAAATGTACTTTATGCAAAACATGCACGAAAAAATTATTTATTCTACTTGTTTGATAGAAAATCACGCCATCTTTAAATTTTATACTCAAACGAAGGGTATCTTTCGGTTTTAAAAAAAGTTGCTAATTATGAGCTTTTCTACAACTGTGAGG